ATTCAAACTCTATTTAAGGGTTAGCTTTGTTATTTTCAGGTATCATTTATTGATATCCTCTTGGTAAAGTGCTTGTTCATCTTTTGCCTATTTTTCTATTGGATTGCCTGCCCTTTTCTCATTGATTTTTAGGAGTTTATTTCTTATTCTGGTTATGAGTCTTTTGTCAGACCCACTATTTTGCTGACTCAGAAAAAACCTCAGTTTGTTATGCTGTAAAACTAAGAGAAAAATGATTGGTGTAAAGATTAAATTAAATAAAAGAAATCACCCTTGTTAAAAAATGTAGAGTGCAACACAAATATGAATTTATACTATCTAGCTGTTTCCTCTGCAAACAAGAATTTAGAAATGCGGTTAGGTATATTGTTATGTGTTTGCTTTTGTTTTTTTTCTTAGCATCTATACAAAGGCAAAAAAACAATGTGTTAGGAGCTCAGTAAAATCACGTTGAATGATGTCACCCAATAATCCACAAAAGAATAATTGCTGCAGAAATGCAAGATAGCATATTACGCATTACCACGGCAGTTGTACTCTAAACCAGATACACGATTACTCAGAGAGATTGATTTTAAAAAGCATGATCACTTAAATCAAAGTATGTTCTCAACTGAAGTGCTCAGACTGAAAAAGAATGGAGTTAGGCACGCTGACTTGTGGGTGCCTTGCCACACCAGCTTTCTGGGACTCTGTGGTGGGCTGGGGACCTTCCTCCTCTTGCGTTTATCCCAGAGGGAGAAGGGAGTTAGGTTTTGCAGGAGAGCGTGTGTATGAGTGGCCACGTGGTGACAGCCACTGGCACTGAGTGACATTGCACAGATTGCAGTGTGCTCCTCCTCTTCCCACCCGCTATAGCAGTCAGGGCAGCTGTTTTCATCCCTACTTTGCAGGAGAGAATACTCAAATGCACAGAAGCCAGTTGCCTGTTGAATTGGGAGCCTCCAGGTTCTTTTGCCTGTGTGGACTCTGTTCCTCCATGCCTACTGCCCAGTGGGGCATGGCAGGAATAGGAGGGGGCAGCCTGAGGATCTGGAATTGCTGAAACCCACTTTCACAGTGCAGTGGTCTGAATGTTTGTGTCCTCTGCTGAATGCATATGTTGAGATCTGAATCCTCAAGGTGATGGTATTAGGAGGTGATTAGTCCATAAGGGTACAGTCATCATGGATGGTGCCCTTATATAAGAGACCTCCCTTACCCCTTCCACCATGGAGGAGCCACTGGGAATGTGGCTGCCTATAAACCCGGAAGCCAGCCCTCACGAGACACCAGGGTTCAACCATAGTGGCAGGTTAATCATGGACTTCCAGCCTCCAGAACTGTGAGAAACAAACTTCTATTGTTTATAAGTTACCCAGTGTATGATATTTTGTTATAAGCATCCAAGCAAACTAAAACACAGAGTCTGTGCTACTTAATTGCAGACCCCCAGGTTCCTGTGGATGCTATTCTTTGGGAGACTAAACCTGCATATTTATTCACAGGCCTCTGGGCCAGGGCTGGCTGTTTCTGTCCCCTCTCTTGCAGGAACCCCCTTGTTGGACCAGGGGGGCCTCCAACTTGGGAGGGAGTGACTGTTATAGGAAGCTCTGCCTGCTGATTCATGGTTTTAGGCTCAAGTGCGGCATGGCAGGCTGGGGGCTCTGGCAGCAGTGGAGGATATTTGGGTGAAAGACAAGGAAACTTCCCTCCTGGGGTGAGGAACTGGATTTCGTCCCTAGGTAAATTCTGGGCAGTGGGAGTGGATCCCCTGCATATCTGCCCTGAATGTCCTTCTGCTGGGGACCAGAGGGCCATGTGGGAACTATAATCCCACCTGGGGACTTTCTTCATCAGAGGTGTGGCCACCATCCTCAGGTCTCCCAGTTCACCTGCCGCCTGCATGGCCAAGTGCAAACCCTGAGGCAAGGAAGTTGAGTGCAGGGCTGAAGTCCTGCCCCAGTTCCTCTGTGCAGAAGCCTTTCAGGAGCTCAGCTTTAGTGCAGCAGGGTGGGGACGGCTTGACAGGGATTGAGGAAGGAGAGGGCTGTGGGGAGAGGGGAGGGGAGAGATGGACTCTGAACCCACTTTTGGAGCAGCCCTGGGGAAGCGAGGGCTTTTCTTGCCAGCTGGTCAAGATCTTGCAGGAGAAAACATGGCACCTGCAGACCTATCGCTGCCAGAGTTCCACAGGACCCCTTTGAGAAGGGGGAAAGGAGTCAGTCAGGAGCCATTTTGCAAATGAGGAGACCAAGGCCTGCAGCCACTGCCCTTCATCTCTGGTCACAGGCATTGGGGCCTGGAGACACTAATGCCTGCATAGAGCCTTGGCAAGCAGGGCTGGTGGTGGGGACCAAGGGACAAAGGCTCAGGGCTGGGGTGCACATGGTGGGTGGGAGGGGACCCACATACTGTGGTATTGTAGGATCACAGGTTGTTAAATCAGAGGCCAGCCCCAGGACTCCACCCTTGTCACTCTCGGTGAATGCCATGTCCCTGTCTTCCTTTTAGTAGGGGCCCTGTTCCCTCCCTTCGTGACCTTTGTTACCATTTGTTGTTATAGGTTGTTATAGTGTATCATTATTGTGTTGTATAATCCTACCTCATTCCCCACCACCCCAGCACACACACACACGTTTTATTCTAGGAGCTCAGGAGCAATATTAATTTCCACTGCACGTATCAGGCAAGCATAATGCTGGGGATGGGAAGTGTTCCATAAATATTTGTTGAATGAATGAATGAATGAAAACTTGGCTGGATGATGGCTTGTAGCAAGGGCTTGTGTACTTCACTAAGGATTTTTTAGTTGATCCTTTGGCCAGTGCAGTTGGAGGAGAGTGATCTGATCATATTGGTGGTCAGAAAGCCCGGTCTGAAGATGAGTAGAGGATGCCTGTGTGTGTGCATAGGAGCAGCAGGCTGCACAGTGGGGATGCAAAGGAGGTGAGGGACCTTGTCACTGCAGACAGAGAGCCAGGAGACTCAGCCCATGCGTGACCTGGGCAGGTGCCAGGAGGAGGGAGATTGTTCTGGAGCATGGTTCCTCATGGCCTCCTCTCTCCCTCTGGAGTCTTTGTCGGGGGCTCCCCTAACGGGCATCCCTGCATGCCCAGGTGGTGGCAGCTGCTGCTTGTTGATTACAGTTTGAAAAGCCGTACTTGGTCCCAAGCTGCCACACACTGTAGAAATCCAGTGTCCCTCTAATGGGGTTTCTGTTAGAAGGTTGGAAAGAAGAAAGCCTTTTAATTAGATTGGTAGTAATTGAGCTTCCAGAGAAGCTTTTCTCTCAGCAGATGAAGACACAAACGCAATTAAAAGAAGGAAAGGCACCTAAATGGAACCCTTGCTAATTTTAAGTCCATTAAAAACAACAACTCCTTAATAAGTTGAGGCAACAGATACACGTTCTGAAGAGTTTAACAGTGCTTCCCAATAATACCGGAGATTGACCTGGAGAGTGCTCCAGCAGCTTAAATGGATAGCTCCATGGGGGATCATTTGCTCAGTGCAGAGTATAGAGACATGTTAGCTCTACAACTGCTCCCACTGAAAACTCCTGGCACATTTTATTTAGAAAATGGGATATATTTTTTCCTGTAACTGAATGAATGTTCAGCTTCCTGTGGACATTGCCCCTGGCCTGTGGTCCCCTGAGACATCATCCCATGTCCCTCATCAGGCAGCCCTGTCCTCTCTGTGGGGTTTGCCCTGCCTGGCCCATCTCACCCCAGAGGTGCCCAGCATGTGAGCGGCTGGGCTGGAGCACTGATGCATCAAAGTGTCCCTGCCAACTTCGGACATGCTCAACACATTTTTATTTTAATGAGAGGCAGCACTCTTTTTCATTTGCATCCCTGCCCACTGACACGCCCCAGCAGATGCCACGTTCTTTCTACCTCTGGGACTTCTTTTTGGAAACTGCCCATTGGTGAACCAGGACAAGTAGTTTCTATTGTGGGAGCTTGAGGTTTCAGCTTCTGGGCACATCTTCACAGGGGCCTTAATTAATACTTTCCCTGGAGAGGGTGTCAATTGCTAAATTCACAGAGGCCTTTAGGTTGGCATTGATTATTTCATACTGAATCACAGCATTTTCGGTGTAACTATTGTACAAGATTCACTCATTTGCCTCCTTTCACGTTGTTTTCTGCTGAGCCATATCGGGCTTGGTCAGCCATACGAAAACGCTAGTTGCAACCCATTTGGAAAGGCCAGTCTTGACAGGTCTCTTCTTTAGACATCCTGTGCGAGAGCAAAGCCACAGCTGGCATCCTGTCCAAGCTCCCTGGTTAGCGCATAGATTTAGCTGGAGCCAGAACTCAGGGAGCTGTTTTGGAAATGTGGGAAAATGGGCTCTGGAGTCAGAAAGATCCAAGCTTGAATGGTTGCTTTGTAAAGTCACCTCATTTTTCTCACCTTTAGTTTACTTACCTGGGTAGGCTTTACCTTCAGGTGTATTTCAAGAGCCTGATGCGCCTCCTAGGAGATAGAGGATGAGAGAAAAGACATCCCAGATCTTCAGGGACAAGGCAGAGTCACAGACCATGGGGCACCATCCGAACAGGGCCGTGGCCCCTTTCCTGGGGTAGGGAGGCATAACATATTTGTATTTGTTTAAAACTGTATGTATTTTGGAAATAAACCTGACTTTTAAAAATTGGATTTTCACCTATTTTTATTTTTTTTTAAGTGTATGCATCATTTACAAATACAAAGATAAATAGCTAAATCGTTAGCAGGCATCATTTCTGGATGGTAGTTTGCAGAGTTTTAATTTTCTTCTTTATACTTTGCATCTCTTGTAAGTGCTCTATAATAAATGTGCCTTACTTTGGAATAAATAGAAAAGCTTAGCTCTGGGGAAATGCTGCTTGCATATATTGGAAGTACTTGGCACATTCTAATTTCCACACACAACAAGGATCCCAACAGTCAGATCCCCATGTGAATAACTGTCTCTTTCTTCTTTTGTAAATCATATCATATTTATGCTGCTGCTTTTTTTTTTTTTTAAGGATGAGAAGAACCAAGTTTTAACCACCAACATTTGGCTGCAAATGGTAAGTTAAGAAAGTGATAATCTCACCCATAGGCCTGCAAGATCTTGTTCCCAAGATACTTGTCCTGATATCTGAGTTGCTTGCTTCTGAGCAGTTTAGAAAAAAAAAAAAAAAGCCATGGCTGTCACCCCTACTCCACATCTACCAACAATGAATGTTGGGTGTATGACAGTACAGTCTGCAGTGCTCAGTGCAGGGACAAGCTCAACACATACGTCAGGGTGATGCGGGGACACTTCGGAAGCACTTCAAGCAAGACAAGTAAGAAGATACAGGGATGGCTGGGCACGGTAGCTCTCGCCTTTAATTCCAGCACTTTGGGAGGCCCAGGTGAGCGGATCATGAGGTCAGGAGATCGAGACCATCCTGGCCAACATAGTAAAACCCTGTCTCTAATAAAATTTAAAAAATTAGCTGGGTGTGGTGGTGTGTGCATGTAGTCCCAGCTACTCAGGAGGCTGAGGCAGGAGAACTGCTTGAATCCAGGAGGTGGAGGTTGCAGTGAGCCAAGATCACGCTACTGCAACTGCACTCCAGCCTGATGAGAGAGCAAGAATCCATCTCAAAAAAAAAAAAGATACAGGAGCATGTGGATGTCTACAGTCTACACCATAGCCAGTCCCCAGGACTTGAGCTCTGGCCCTGCCCTCTGTAGCCTCCAAAACTGCATGTTTGAACAGGTGGAGTGTTCCTAAACCAGAGGCCTTTGTACTTTGTGTTCTTATGATGCTTGCAAGAATTTTGAAATGCTACATATCATCCGTGGATTTTTAACTTGATATCTGCAATACTAACCTAAATTTAATTAATTGCAAGTGATGCTTCTTATATCCAGTTGTAAATAGTGACACTGAAAAATAAAACGGTCAGTCTCTATTTTAAATGGAATTAAAATGCCTTAATAATTTGGCGCCCATATCATTCAAACACCATATGAACAAGCCTTTTATTAAACTGTCAGATTTTAGCTTAGTCCCTTTTTCTCTTTGCGCCTGCATTTCTATTCTACTTTCCACATGGAATTTTATCCTAATGTAACGTAATTTTATATTTGAAAGTCTTTTATTTTTTCCTCTGAGACAGAGTCTTGTTCTGTCATCCAGGCTGGAGTGCAATCTAGGTTCACTGCAACCTCCGCCTCCTGGGTTCAAGTGATTCTCCTGCCTCAGCCTCCCAAGTAGCTGGGATTACAGGCATGCGCTACCATGCCTGGCTAATTTTTGTATTTTTTAGTAGAGATGGGGTTTCCTCATCTTGGCCAGGCTGGTCTCAAGCTCCTGACCTCAGGCGATCCACCCACCTTGACCTCCCAAAGTGCTGGGATTGCAGGCGTGAGCCACTGTGCCTGGCAGAAAGTCTTTTATTAATCACTATGCCTTGGTTCTTTCAAATGTAAATATTTACATCGGAATTATTCCTTTACACCATAAGTTTTAAATTTTGTTTCTTTTGTATTGATTTAGGATTGCTATTATTATTGGTATTATAATTCATTAAGGTGGCATAAGTTAAAATTTTTAAGTAATTATAAAACATAAATTTTTATTGGCAATTTATATCTCTGCCAAAGACAAGTTTGTTTTAAATTAGTTCATGTATCCACAGATGACTTTTTATTACTTGAATGGAGAGAATAACAGTTTTCATATCAAATCTGTTGCTGTTTTTTTGCTAGGTGTAGTAACATGAGCAGTTGGACATGAAAGGCATTTTGTTAAAGCAATGCTACTCAAGCTTTGAACACTTATAGATTATATGCCCAAAATAATGTAGTTTTCATCAAATGTATCAGCTGACAACTTGTTTAGTTTCTCTTTCAATTTTGTTGAAAACAAAGACTTAAAAGAATTAAAACTCAACTGACCTTTGAAAGTATTTGCCATCAATTTGTAAGGTAGTTCACACAGACGCAAACACTGATACTTGAATTGACCCTTCGTTTGGTTCTTGCGTTGGTGTCCCAAAATGGGAGTTGAGGTAAGATAAGAGAAATGTGCCTTCTTTGTAGAGTGGAATGGGAGAAGTAAAAATGGAGGCAAAGGATAGTCCTACATGGTTCTTGGGCAGGTGAGTTTTCCTGCGAATACATGTGGAGTTGAGGGATAGAAAACAGATCTGCATCCAGCCAGGCTAACATGGTGAAACCCTGTCTCTACTAAAAATTCAAACATTAGCTGGGTATGGTGGCCTGTGCCTGTAATCTCAGCTACTTAGGAGGCTGAGACAAGGAGAATTGCTTGAACCCAGGAGGTGGAGGCTGCAGTTAACTGAAGTTGCGCCACTGCATTCAAGCCTGTGCAACAGAGCAAGACTCCATCTCAGAAAAAAAGAAAACAGATCTGCTTAAAGCCGTTGCTAGGTGCCCAAGGGGCACCCTTAGCTACATGTGAGACCCTTGCAGAACTTACACAGTAGTCAGGTGAGAGCCCTCTGGAGATTTCCCTGCAGGAAAGCAGCATGCTTCAGTGACCACATCCTTGCCCTCACCTATCCATCCACTCTAACTTCCCTCCTTTTGCCCAGGACACATGATCCATGCTTTCCTGGAAGGCTCAGCCCTTCCTCCCATTTATAGGCTCGTCTCCTGGCCCTTGCTTGGAGCCCTGTGTTTATGGTTGTCCTTGCTGCCTCTAACATCATAATAGCATCTGCGGGTCATTCTCACTTTTGTCCCTCCTACAGACTTTTCATTTGGATAAATTGTTAACACTATGGATCTGTTGGCTCAGACCAAAAACCTCAGAGTCACCCTTAACTCTTGTCTGGCACACCTCACCTCTGATATATCAGCAAATCCTAGCAGCTTGACCTGCAAAACCGATCCAGCATCTAATTACTGGGCATCAATGATGATGCTTTCACCCTGGTCTGCATGGGCATCATCTCTCACTTCCATTATTAGAAGTCCCCATGCAACCTTCCTGCTTCAGCGTTGCCTCTTCTGGTGGTGTTTGTCCTCAACATAGCAGCTAACATATACCTCCTTGGCACAGATTCCTCCAGGGGCTCCTGTCTCCCTAGGCGAAAGGAGGAGGAGGAGGAAGGAAAAGGAGGAGGAGGAAGTAAGAGGAGGAGGAGGAGGAAGTAAAAGGAGGAGGAGGAGGAGGAAGTAAAAGGAGGAGGAGGAAGTAGAAGGATGAGGAGGAAGTAAAAGGAGGAGGAGGACAGGAGGAGGGGGACAAAAGGAGGAGCTGAAGTCCATGAAAGTAGCCTTGGATTCAATACCCTCCCTGCCTGGCTCCTCCTTCTTTTCCCATCCCCTCTGTCCTCCGCTTCCTGGCTGCACTTACTGCCCTCTTGATGTTGGGGGACACATGTCACCCAAGCATGTGCCCACCTCAGGGCCTTTCCACTGGCTGCTCTCTGCCAGGAAAACTCTCCCTAAGAACCACTTGATTTCTCCTTCAGTTCTCACTGGTCTCTTCCTGAAGGTCACCTCTTCGTTGAGGTCTTCCCTGAGCTCTAATGTTTGGTCCCAAACCTTCCCCTCCACCTCCAGCCCACTCTGTTCTCTTTATCCTGCTTCATTTTTATCCCAAAGGCTTCTCATCATCTAACTCACTTTGTGTTCACTCGTCTATCTGTTCATTGGTTCTGAGTCTTCCTCCCCCTTAGAGTGTGTGCATCGGAGGAGGAGGGGATGGGGACAGGGTTCCAGGTGGATTTGATCACTGCCATACTCACAGTCTCACCTGTAGCAGGCACTGAAGAACTTTTGCTGAATGAGATAATGAAGCAAAAACTCCAGGTGAACCTTGAGGTGCTTAGGTAGTGTGACACAACGTAAAGCCATCTCCTAAACAACTGTGCAGCACTTCCATACTGAGTGTGTAAGGTCAGGCTCTGCAGAATGAGGCAGGTGCTTCCCTTTTTAATTGAAGTTGGATGTTTGCCATGCCCTCTAAGGAACAGAGCTGCTATTGACATTTTTCTTACAGAGAGAAATGCATGATATGGGGAGCTCTCTCTCCCTGGTGCCTATGTTCCTTAGCCCTAAGTAAGTGAGTAGTCTTCAGCAATGTATACATATGATTTGGCAATTTTCTTTAAAGGATGGTGATTTCCAAGAAAAATGTAACTGGATTATTACTTCTAGTATTGAGTTCAGAAACATCCTTGCTTCAGAGGGTGTCACCAGAGACCTACAAATTTATTTCAAGCACAGCTGATTTTTAATTAAAGCTTACATTTGCAGAAGCATCTGCAGCTTCATTTGTTTGAAAACTCGCCTTTTAACTCACCTCCTCTTCTGGAGCAACCTACTATGTGGAAGGCATTGAACTGGGCCAGGTAAGGTGACCCAGAAATTTATAACCCAGTTTCTACCTTTAAGCCATTTATGATCAGGCTGTGTAATTAATACGTTTAGAAGAAAATGGAGGCTGAAGAGGAGGAAAGGAGGAGGAGGAAAAAGGAGGAGAAGGAGAAAAAAAAGGAGAAGGAGAAAGAAAAGAAAAAGGAGGAGGAGGAAAAAAGGAGGAAGTGGAGGAAAGGAATAGGCGGTGGAGGAGGAGAAAGAGTAGAAAAACAGAAGGAAAGGAGAAAGAGGAGGCAGAGGAGAGGGAGAGGAAGAGAAAAAAGGAAAAAGCAAAGGGGGGAGGTAAAAAGGAGGAGGAAAAGAGAGGGAGGATGAGAGAAGGAGGAGAGGAGGAGGAGGAGAAAGGAGGAGCAGGAGAATAAAAGGAGGAGGTGGAGCAGGAGGTGGAGGAGGAGGAGGTAAAAAGGAAGAGGAGGAGGAGGAGGTGGGAGATAACGTTTATCTGGAAAGCTGCTTCTCTAGATGATCTAGCAGTTGTAACATTGCTTTCCAACTGAATATATATATATATATATATATATATATATATATATATATATTTTATTGCACTTTAGGTTCTGGAGTACATGTGCAGAACATGCAGGATTGTTGCATAGGTACCTACATGGCAGTGTGGTTTGCTGCCTCCACCCCCTCGTCACCTATATCTGGCATTTCTCCCCACGTTATCCCTCCCCAGCTT